ATAAATAATAATATTAGTAATATATGTACACGAAAGCAAGCTCCAAATGGTTGATTTTCATACATTTTTCAGCTCCAATATTAGTCACCAATTAAGCTAAGCAATTTCAGAGTGCTGAGGAGCTTATTTAGAAAGTGAATAACCGTTTCTCACCTCCCAGAACGTAATCATACGTCTGACTTCTTCGTGAATACCTTTTCTGTGATCCATTTAAATGCAGTTTTGATGATTCGTTGCTTTTATTTGGAAAAGACAGCACCTTCTCTGTCCAGGCGCCATTTTGTTTCTCATTTCGCCGTCTACAGTTAGTCAGCGGTCGATACGTAAATGTGGTGTGACAGGTCAGGGCTGAATAATGAAATGCTACATCAGAGGGTGTGGTCATCAACCCGGGCTCATGTGTTTTGGGTCTAAAATTTTGCGAAATTAGCCGAAAATAACGAGGGCTGACTTTTAAAACCGAGGAACTTTGTTTTCGTCTAAGGCATTTTCCTATTTCTAGAGGTTTTAAGGAGAAAATTAGTTATAGAAAATTTTTAGGGATGTACCAAGTTTTTTGAGGTTGTTCTGTAAAACAAAGCGGTAAGGAATACGACGCCTCGAGAAAACAGAATAGGAAATCAACCCTACAAACTACCCAAAAATCCGTTTTCCGCGGCAAAACCTAGCGCATGCGCATATGTTATTCAGCTCTGCTGTGTAACAGAGTCATAAATTGGAACGTCACAGCGGTCGAACGTCTGCAAATAAGCGAACGTGATAGTTACAAGAAGTCTTGAGAGGAGCTTTTTTGAGAAAGTCATAGCTAATTTGTCTAAAAGGGGGTAATTACAAATAACCACACGAATCAGTTAGTCACGGTGTTTTAAAACCCTAGAACCTCTGTAAAGCTCAATAGGATACCCCTAATTTAAGAAACAGCGTTGTTTTATATAAGTTTTGAGTTCTCCCTTTCCCAATTTATGTTTCTTTTTAGAAATTTCTCTCATCATTTGAATTTTTCTCGCGCATATTTCGCGTGTCAACAATCGTTTGTTATGTTTTCCTTTGAAATTGACGCGGGAAATTGACGCGCCACCCATTGAAGCACTTGAGCATGCTTGATCGGTGTCTGACCGCTGTGTTAATCTGAACCGACAGATAAAGGTAGGATGTTGACCAGTCGATACGATAA